CTTTAGTATAAACCTACTAGTAGGCTATCACATATCGTGGCTTCTGATTGGCTACGCTACTAGTAGGCTATTAGTGATAGCCTACTAATAGAAAATTCAAAATGGCGGAAAATTCGCATTTTGCACTTTTGCCGAAGTGTCTGATGATTTTTTTGGACGACTTGTTGAACAATTCTGTACTAAAAAAACGAAAAAGCAACAAAAATATGGAATTCGAATTTTTAAGGGTAAGAAAATAGACAAAATAACATACACTCAATGAAATTTTAAAATTAAAACTGAATTTTGTAAAACATTTTACGCGAACAAAAACTAAAATATTTGTTTACCTTTAATGGTTTTATAATGTTTTTTGTGTATTTTTGTATTGTGTTTGCAGCCTAGTTGTAAATTAATGTTAAAGTTTATACTAAAACAATTAGACAACTCGGCCTCGTTGTCTATGAGCACATAGTCAACTCGGCTTCGCCTCGTTGACTATTCGCTTATAGACAACTCGGCCTCGTTGTCTAATTGTTAAATATCTTTCCATGGGAACAGGTATATTGTCAATATACATAAGAATGTTATTACTGCATTCCCTAATATTATAAACATTAAAATTTTAACTCTTTTTTTTCTTTTTTTTTAATTTTAGAAGTGAAGTACAGTGAAGGTAAGCAGAGGAGAGGTGGGTGGGTGGGAAAATCTTTCGATAATGTTACTCTGTCGACCTCTCAGAGTAGGCTAAATTACGTTATTTTGCATGAACTCGTGCATGTTATGTGCCAATTAAGATGGGCTGTGTTGTGCCCTATGATTGGTCAAAGCACAGAACAGAGTCGTACAAGGTTTTCAATTGGTTCACAGTATGTTTCACGGTTTGTTCACGTGAATGTGTGCTAGCTGGCAGAAGATGATCTTTGACTCATCTGTCAAAGATTACGTTGATATAAACCATATCTACCTCCTCATGTTACCATCACACCTTGTCTCATTAACTTGAATGAATGAATGAATGAATGAATGAACAACTTTATTTAAAGAGGGTAGAAACACATGACAGCAATATAGCTGAAAAACCTGTGGCCCTCATATACAATACATACAAAGTTATTAATTCTACTTTAAAACGTCTAAAAGCTACTTAGAGTAAATATGTAAAAGGTCACTTAGGATATAGGCTATAAATTTGCTTTTGTTTTAAATTTGATTTCTGAATTACTGTGTAACATGTGTATTAAGACATAATATAACTGACAAAGTTATATAAGAAATGTTGTTATGTTAGTACAGTACACCATTTTCTGTAGCCTGCCTAGCAGTAGCCTGCGCGCAGACTATATCCCACTAAAGCATATCAAATTACATCCTCGTTCCCAGGGCTTCTCGGCTGCCTGCGTTGCAAATTACGTTTCGCTTTCAATTATTCTACTTCCGCGATTGTCTTGCACAAATTCTCGTTCTGCATTCAAATATTCTCGATAGTATTCCACATCTATAATTCTTGAAAATGGCCTCCGTTCAATCGAATGTGGACTGGCAGTCGACAAAGAACACCATCTTAGAAAGAAACCGTCAGATGTTCAACAATTCAGACATGAGTGATATCAGCTTTACTTGCGAAGGTTCAGACAAGACATTCTATGCACATAAATATGTCTTGGCCACAAGTAGCGCCGTATTTCATGCCATGTTTTACGGCGGCTTAGCTGTGAAAGATTCGATTCTTCATTTGTCTGATACAAACGATGAAAGTTTGGAGCAGTTTTTGAGATTCCTTTATACCGAGAAATGTACATTGACCGCAGACAATGTTGTTACCACGAGGTATTTGGCAAAGAAGTACATAATTCCTTCGCTCAATGAGAAATGTGTTAATTTTCTGCTAGAAAATTTAAATCCTGAAAATGTGCTGGATATTTTGGAGCAAATGATTCGCTTTGATGAGAAAGAATTAGAAAAACAATGTTGGGAAATTATAGAGTCTAGTACAGGCAAAGTGGTAGCCTCTGATAGTTTCAATAACATTAGTCAAACGACCTTGGCTAAATTACTGAAGCGAGACATTCTGAAAATACCAGAAGTAGAACTGTTTCAAGCTGTTTTAAAATGGATTGATTTCCAATGCTCGCGTAAGAATTTGAAGCCAACGGGTGAGAACCGAAGGCCCATCATTGGTGAAGCAATCTATGATTTTCGATTTATTGGCATGAGCCAGGCAGAGTTTGTTCAACATGTTTCTAAATCTGGTTTGTTAACTTCGGATGAGTTAGTTCCAATTTACGAAAAATTTCTTGGTTTTGATTCGCCTGCGTTGAAATGGAACCTACCGAACAGGAAACCAGGAAATATCGTCAGGTTTTCCAGATTCTCTAAAATAGCAGTGGAAGAAGTTCGGGAGACGTGGAGATATGGCCGCACACCAGATCGCCTTTGTTTTTCTGTTAATGAAGAGGCGTTCTTGCTTGGCGTTCGTTTGTTTGGAGACAAAGGTAGGAGTAAATATCATGTCACTTTTGAAGTTAAAGAAGCCAAAGTAACCGGAACTTATATCTCTGAACGCAATCAAGACGACATTCCTGGTTTTGATGTAATGTTAAACAAACCCGTTATCCTGAAGCAGAACGAAGTTGTTACTCTATCTGCAACAATAGAAGGGCCTCAATCGTGCGGCAGTAAAAATGGCATTCAATCAATTACACTCCAGGAGATCTCTGTGACATTTAGTAATTCTCCGCCCCCGCACAACGGAACTCAAGTAAATCAAGGACAATTTCATAAAATAATACTTGAGATTTAACTTTCATGGTTGTTACATAGATATCTTATATACACTAGATAGTGAATCTAATTATTCTGCAATTCAAAAATTGAAGCCGTGATTGCAGTCTCAGGTCGTTCCCATGAAATGAGAAGACTCGTATATTTTCTATTTCTTAAACAGGGAACTTAAACATTAAGTTAAACCTATTCCAAATACATTTTTAAACTATTCAAATGATGAAAGTTATTGTTGTTTTTAAGCGTTTATTTGCAAGTGGGAACGACCAACATGGCCGCCATCTATTCAAATGGGGGTAACCGCTGGAATATTCTTGGCTTCAATTTTACTAAAAGAGATGCGCTATCTAGTGTATATAAGATATCTATGGGTTGTTATCATTGACAATGTTGTGCTATACTCTGTGTACAGTTTTGGGGAACATGATAGCAATATTTTTATAACGCTGTTGAGATTAATATAAACAACCACTTTTAAATATTAAAGACTAAAGTCCGTTCAAAAAGTCATTAATAATTGATGAGGAAAACACAAAGACAAATCATAAGCGTGTCGTATCTTTTTATATGTGTGATAGAGATTTCCCTTGATTTACATTAATTTTCCCATGATTTTCTTTGATTTTCTCGACTTACACAACGTATTTTTTTGAAAATTACTTCGCCAATGAACTTACTAGATCGATCGTTTTTGAAGCAATTTATAACATTCGCAAAGCGTGTTTTATTAGACCTAAAGATATTCGGCTTCGCCTCGTATCTTTATATCTGATAAAACACTGCTGCTCATGTTTTAAATAGTACATCAACAACCATTTTTAAGTATTAAAGCCCGTTCAAAACCATTTCAACATCATACACTATCAGTTCTTTGAAAGTTTACGTGGCGATAAAACAATACGTCTTTTGGTTTCTGGAAAACAGCACTGACCAGGGTTTTTTTCCAGGTATTTTTTAGGGCCGTAAAACGGCCCCAAAAACTCAATCTTGAATTGAGTTTTGAAACTCAATCTTCTCACAAAAGATTCGGTGCAGTAAAATGAAGTTGTTTGAGTTAAATTCGTGACGTGTGGAAATTAGTTTTCAGTTGGAAACCCGAAAATTAAGGAAAATAATGACTGGAATTCATCTCACAACACAAGAAAAACTACGCATTCGCCATGTTTAACCAGTTTGTAGGGTCTCTTAGTGCCCCTGCTTTAACACATTGCGTCTCAACTACATTTATTGAAGGGGGAGGGGGGGTGGAGCCACCCCAACTGTTCAGCTAAACTCAATCTTCTCGGCAAGAACGGACCCAAGAGAAAATCCGGAAAAACGCTGACTGACATATATTTACCTCTGCCAGGAGGCATGTTTCCACCTGCACGGTTTGTATGTGTGTTTGTGTGTGTGTCTGTCACTAGATTACTCAAAAAATATCAAACGTATTACTCAAGCGGTCAAGCACGATTACTCAAAAATATCAAACGTATTAATACGAAAATTTGTAGCGCTAATGGCAATAGGCCAAAGACAAATCGATGAGATTTTGGTTCAATTTGGACGAAAACTGAATGAGAAATTAGCAACGGTTTGTCTTGCTCTCTTGGGCAGAGAATACGGAATAAAATATTTAACAATTATTCGCCGAAGGCGAGGTGGTTATCGGGCAATATTGATATTCGCCGAGGTGGTCATCGGGCAATATAAGTCGATGTGAATATTCCCCGATAATCACCGAGCCTGAGGCGAATAATTGTTTTAGTATTCTTACACAAGTCTTTTGTGTTTTTGGGACTGAATTTATTTTAATTTCGCTTATTTTTTATCAGTATTATTTCCATAAAACAGCTAGCCGCCATTTTGAAAATTTCGGTTTTGTTATATTCACCTGCATGTAGGTGAATATTCACCTGTAGGTGAATATAACAGCTTAATACATCAAATTTGACAATCAACGTGTAGGATTTGTTATGTTCACTTGTGCAAAAATACTAAAGCTTAATATTACCATATCTTATTTACCACCCTACTTTAACATTATTTTTTCATCCTTATATAAAACACTCGAACTTAATTCGTATTATATTATTAACAATCAGTTTAGCTTTATAATCCTAAGGCCATAAATAAAAGCAACATGATTTTTAATAGGTCCCAAACCCACGTCTTGTAATTTCTTTATTTTATTTGTAATGATAATATTTCGGAGAGGAATACCACGCAGAGAGTTCGTCTCTACTGATAATCTGTCTCTTCGCTGCCTTTATGCAGAAGAGTTATCAGACAAATTATCAATTGACCACTTGCGTAATAGACTAAATTTTGATCTAGACAAAAATTTCATCACAGCTTGAAAGAGCATCACAAAATTAGTAATATTCCAAAGTTTCGTTGCGAAATGTTGTAAAATGCGGATAATATAGCCTTGCGAAGTTTGCAATTTTCAGTCATTTTAGATTACAAACGGGAAATTGACAGCCCCAAAAGGTATTGGGCTGTCAATCAAAGTCCGAGTAAAAATTATTGAAACAGTAGGGCTTGTACGGGAAAACCCACGAGAAATGTTTTTAAGTGCTACATAGCGCCTATTACCACGCAGAGAGTTCGTCTCTTCTGATAATCGGTCTTTTCGCTGCTTTTATGCAGAAGAGTTATCAGACAAATTATCAATTACCTTTTGACCAATAATCAATATCGTTACAACGTTATCTTAGAATCATCACTAGTGAGATTACTAGTCGCTGGGACGCCTGTGCCGCCAGCGACTATTGGTGTCGGCTTCGGCGTTTCCATCTTTAGTTACTCATATTTTTAGTAACCGGAAGGACACAAATTGGAAAAATCCCACTGATCTCATAGTAGCTGGTTGTAGCTTCTATAATGTATATTGAAGACGAGAAGAACCAACGTGAATTTTAGCAAATGAAAGATACTTTGCGAAAGTGTACTGTACTGATCTATCTACAGTTTAAAAAAATGTTGTGTTAATGCTTTAGATTACTCTAAAATATTGCCATTTGTATTCGTTGTCCCTTCGGCTACGGGAGTAATTTCGCCATAATCATATGGCAAGGCAATTTCTAGTTTCGTTTCCAATAAGAGATCTACTTAACCTAAGAATACTTTTAAACTGGAAAGTCAGTAATATCGCGTTGTTATTTAGAAGTACATAATTATGTACAGTATAAACTATAAAGTACGTTATTTGACTAGATATTTGCGCTGATTAATACTTGTTTTATTCATTGCACTAACGACTTCGAAGCCAGCGTTAAGAAAGCTTTTGTAAAGTGAATTTACATTTATATTGCAGTTGAATTTGAGTCAAGTATACCACAGTGTATAGGTATATATAAAGATCTTTTTGCGCTAAGATGTTAAGGTGAATTTTGAACAATGTACGTATAATTTTTTTTCTGTGTTGGTGTTGTGTACTCAGGTGAATATGATGTTTGTGATGTTACTTTGAATGATGTTACTTTGAATGTATGTTTGGGAATCGAACCTACGACCTTTGGAATACTAGCCCAATAATGCTCTGCCAACTGAGCTACGCGGTCAGGTCGGTTCGAGTATGTGATATTTCGGAACTGAGTCTAGTTCCTTCGATATCAATGCAATCTATAGTAATCATGATTTTTTTCTGTGTTGGTGTTATGTACTCAGGTGAATAATGTACGTACACTTCATTCATGAGAACGTTTGCACCATGATGTGCGTACACTTGCCTTTTGAGGCCTGGATACTAGGGCTAGGCCTGGATAACAAGCCCAGCGACCAAACACTCAATAAAGCGTCTTGTTACTAATACAATACAACATTATGGTTATCTTAATACGAGTCTTAATAGATAACCATATCTCAAAATTCGAACTTTCAATCATTCATAATAGGTTAGCCAACCATATTGTTATTGACTCCGGTCACATGAGGGTATTGATTGAGTCCCAGGACTGAAACAAGATCACTTTTGTGACTTATATAAGGCGTCATTTCAAAACCTCAAATTCAGTCGGGATTTAAGTCAACTGAGTTGATTTCAAAGCTGCATTTCAAGTGGTTCTGTTTGTGGTATAAACCATATAATTACGCTAGTGAATGCTACTAAAGTTAGTATTGATTATGAGCATATTTTAGTGAAGAATTAAAATATTTTTGAGCTAATCATTGCTATTATGAGATTGATACCACATGGGGTAACATGCCGAGGATTTGACTATAGGGTGTCTGAAAAAAAAACGAAATCCAAATATAGCATGCCATTGTGCGTTAATTATTCGGTGTATGAACGTAATTTTTTCACGATCATAAAGATCAGGCATTTGGCTGTTGAATGACATGTTTTTTATTCATTTTTGAGAACAATTTAGCAAATACGAGTCCGATAAAAATTGTTTGTCGAAAGGGCATATTTCCACCGTTGAGAATTGGGTCTAAAGCTATTGAAAATTAACTCCCTTTAATTAAGGACTTAAGTTGATGAATTTCACGTCATTAAAATACCTGCGTATGCATAATTGTCATAAACGTCTCGTAAACCAGCCGTGAGCTCATCGTAAAATGACACATTCGTGATTAATTGCTCTTCCTTTTGTTATGCATGCACTGCATTAATTCAGGCAGATTAATATGCGATTTCGACAAACAATTTTAATCGGACTCGTATTTGCTAAATTGTTCCCAATAATGGATGAAAAACATGTCATTCAACAGCCAAAAGCCTGATCTTTATGATTATCAAAATATTACGTTCATACACCGAGTAATTAACGCACAATGGCATGCTAAATTTGGATTTTGTTTTTTTTTAAACGCCCTGTAAATCGCAAAGTCACGCCTGTATCTATGATCCTATTGCCGCTAATTGTCCAAGCAAATTTTCGTTCTGCTTAGCAAGCACTTAAAAGTCCCAAACTCTCGATAGTATTCCACATCTATAATTCTTGAAAATGGCCTCTGTTCAATCGAATGTGGACTGGCAGTCGACAAAGAACACCATCTTAGAAAGAAACCGTTATATGTTCAACAATCCAGACATGAGTGATATCAGCTTCACTTGCGAAGGTTCAGACGAGATATTCTATGCACATAAATATGTCTTGAGCACAAGTAGCGCCGTATTTAATGCCATGTTTTATGGCGGCTTCGCTGTGGAAGATTCGATTGTTCATTTGTCTGATATAAACGAGGAAAGTTTGGAGCAGTTTTTGAGATTTCTTTACACAGAGGAATGTACATTGACCGGAGACAATGTTCTTGCGATCATGTATTTGGCAAAGAAATACATAATTCCTTCGCTCAATGAGAAATGTGTTAATTTCTTGCTCGAAAATTTAAATCCTGAAAATGTGCTGGATGTTTTGGAGCAAGTGACTCGTTTTGATGAGAAAGAATTAGAAAAACGATGTTGGAAAATTATAGTGTCTAATGCAGGCGAAGTGGTAGCCTCTGATAGTTTCAATAACATCAGTCAAACGACCTTGGCGAAATTACTGAAGAGAGACCATCTGAAGTATACCAGAAGTAGAACTGTTTCAAGCTGTTTTAAAATGGATTGATTTCCAATGCTCGTGTAAGAATTTAGAACCAACGGGCGAGAATCGAAGGTCTGTTATTGGCGAGGCAATCTATGATTTTCGATTTTTTGGCATGAGCCGGATAGAGTTCGCTGTACATGTTTCCAAATCTGATTTGCTCACAGATGATTCCCATTTACAAAAAAAATCTTGGAGCTGATTCGCCTGCGTTAAAAATGGAAGCTACCGAATAGGAACCTAGGAAATATCGTCAGGTTTTCCAGATATCCTGGAAAGGCAAAGAAACTATTTGCATGGGATAGGATGGACATATACTGGCACACCAGATCGCCTCTGTTTTTCTGTCCAAAGAGATGCATTACTGGTTGGTGTTCGTTTGTTTGGGGACCAAGGTGGGAGTGAGTATCAGGCCACTTTTGAAGTCAAAGAAGCCACAGTAATTGGAAGGTATACTTCTCAACGCAATGAAGACGACGTTCCTGGTTTTGATGTAATGTTAAAGCAACCCGTTCCACTGAAGCAGAACGAAGTTGTAACTCTTTCTGCAAGAATAAAAGGGCCAAATTCGTATCGTTGCGAAAATGGATTCTCTTCAGTTAGGCTCAAAAATGTCTCTGTGACATTTTGTGACGCCCCTGAACCCAACAACGAAACTTCTTCTATAAGCGGACAATTTCATGAATTAATACTTGCGATTTAATTGTTCTGTGCCCTATAGACAGTTTCGGAGATATCATATTGAATATTGATGCTTGTGATGTTACTCTGAGTGTATATCCACACCGAGCGAGCTTGAAAAATGTGCCCGGCCACGGTGGGAATCGAACCTACGACCTCTGGAAAACTAGCCCAATGCTCTGCCAACTGAGCTACGCGGTCAGGTCGGTTCTACTATACTCGAACCGACCTGACCGCGTAGCTCAGTTCGCAGAGCATTGGGCTAGTATTCCAAAGGTCGTAGGTTCGATTCCCACCGTAGCCAGGCACGGTGGGAATCGAACAATTTCGATTTAGATTTGTTCATTCGCATAAACAAGATTTTAGATTTGATCATTCGCATAAACAAGAGCTATTACAAAGCTCAGAATTTCGGCTCATAGACTACCTGTTGAAACAGGTCGATATTCCATATGATGAAAGAATATGTCAGCATTGCAAGGAAACGGGCAACATTACTTAATGCAGTGCAATAATGCAAAATTTACTAATATCAGGGTTTTTTATATACAAGCTTAACCAGATAAACCACTCGTTTCGTTCTTTTAATAATCACGACTTATTTATAATATATTCTTGCAATGAAAGACAAATCCATCAATAATTTGGTAGCAAAATATTGCTTTCATGTCTTGACTAACTTTGAACAAGTATAAAACAATACAGTATTTTATATGTCCTATTTAGTTATATTTTTATATCGAATGGTATGCATTCATTATGTACCATGAGTGTTGGTTTTCCTTATGAATAAAGTCATTATTATTAGTAACCATAAACAAGAATGTGATTAAATCATTCATATAAACAATCGCATATAACTGATATTAAATCCCATTGAAAACCATTTCAACGGTTACGTTGTCAAGTTGTCATGTTCTGCATATTTTGCTTCTTACATGCTTTTATTGCATTTATTAATATTTCTAAATATAACTTATATAACTTTTTAACAGACCAAGTCTGCATCCAGTAAAAGGGAAAGCTTGATATTGATTAATTCGGTCTAACTCTTTTGTTGCAATTCGTAGTTTGAGAAACATGACGTCATTTTATTTCAATCGCCGCCATATTGATTGACCAGATTCTAAAGCATCCTTAACAGCCGCCATCAATGCGGTGAAAAGATTGAAGGAATTGACCATTTCTGGTTTGTTAAAAACAGCTGTTCGAGTTTTATGACCGGGACTATTTACACCAAACTTTAAACCATTAGTTTAGGCGCATGCGTGTTGATAGTAAATTTAAAGCCTCATAGCGAACCGAAAACCTTGCATATTTTAGTTGTTATTTCGTTATATTTTGGTTGTTTTAATGGTGAAACAAGACGCCAGCTCAGGAGTTCACTCCGGCTGAAAGCGACATGATACGCACAAAATTAGTTTTCCTGCTGAAATAGCAGATACGCACAAAAGCCTACTGTATGAAATGTTAGCCTGCAAAGCAGGCGTTTTGTTAGAAATGGGCAGGCGGTGGCCTGCTTTGCAGGCTAAAGAAATATAGAAATACCTGTGTGACGTATTCAGTTGTGACGGGTAAAAAGTACACTCGGTCAGCCAGCCCCTTAGATGTCTGTACAGTTGCGATGTTTGGATTAATGAGTACCGTCTGTACGCCTTCTTCTTTCAAAGCTTTTATGGCCTATCAAAAATCATGAAGTACAAATTTGTAAAAAATACTTGTTAATACCAGCGTTCGAAATAAATCTGGGAAGTTTAGGGGTCAGCCTGCCTGACCACTCGAGCGTAACTTAGGCGGGGGGGGGGGGCACATAACCTCCCCCCCCCCCCTATTTCGAATGCTGGTTAATACAAAAGCAAACCTAAACCAAACTAACTTCATTTATACTGCATGGATAGCTCTATCAGTTATAAACTGTTCTTCTTAGAAGTCCAAAGACTGATCCAGTGTTACTACAGAGGAAAACCTCAAGTGAACAAACTCCAAGCGAAGCAATTCTAGCTCGGCCACTGTTGACTGAGGAAGGGTAATGCTATACTGGACGACCCCCAGGGGAGGGTCACAATTTTCCAACCAATGCACGGGGAGGGTTGTATTATTTTCATCAATTCAGTGAAAATCCCGCCGTCACCTCCCCTCCCCCCGTGCTAATTCTGGCAAGTTCCTAACAACCTTACCTGTGAACCAGAGTAATCAAATTCACCCGCTTGCCCAATAGACAACCCTCCTGACCCCAGAATCAAGACTTTCTTTGGGCGAACAGTGATATCAGGCATTACTGGTGTAAAGGAAAACCGTTTCTGGATCATCTCTTTCACACTGCTTTTCATGGCTGCCGTTTTAGTATGTCGTACGGTTCGTAAAAAGACATCGAACAGGCATTCAAGATCTTCGGGGCCTGCCGTATGCTCAGGGTGAAACTGCACGCTGAAGAATGGTGCTGTATTGTGGATAATTCCTTCGTTGGTTTTGTCGTTTGCGTTGGTAAATAGCACAGACCATTCTGGGGGTAAGGTTTCGGCGTTGACAGCGAAGCCATGGTTTTGTGTCGTAATGAAGCAACGGCCTGATCCCTCGTGGATGCATGGCTGGTTGTGACCGCGGTTTCCGTATCTAGAAACACACAGAAAATCATCATCAATAAAAATGCTCTTCGTAGTGAATATGAGATTTCAAACGGGTCTGTGCCAGTGTAGGTAATAGGGAGTAAAGATGCCTACAACGAACAACGGGTACAGAGTACGGTTGAAAGCTGTTTTCTCATTGTCTCAACTGAGGCAGACAAAATTTACATATCCCCAGAGCATACTTTTTACATCGTAGCGACCTTGGCTACAGCGTAAAAATCACATTCTTGTGTTGTAAAACAGAATCAAGAACATAGCACCGAAACTGACTACGCAACGTTGCAGGTTGGAGAGTATTTTTATAAAGAAATGATTAAAATTAAAAGATGAAACTTACCAAACACAAAACCATGCACATAAAACATATTTGGGATAAATTTGTTATGACAAGCATTTAGTATTTGCACACATATAACAAAAACTATTTCAAACGTAGTCGGTAGTTCGTTGTCAAGATCTTAAACTCCCTAATGACGATAAGAACTCAGCTGCGGATTGAATACAACTATCACGACGAAGGGCCTTAGCTCGAAACGTCGAGGTTCTGCTTGTATTTTTCAGGTAGTTGTATTTTATTCTAAGAGACAGGTCATTATTTATGGCGGGGGGTGAGAAAAGGGTTGGATAAAAAAAATTGAGTAAAAAGCAGGGTGTTAGCTAGCCCATATACTCTCCGTTTGACGTTCTTCTGATGAGAAAGTGCATTGCATTTGATTTTATATTATTATGTCAAAGAACTTCTATTTACTTTTTCCCATTAACTATTTTCTCAAAATGTATCGCGTTTCATTCATATTGGGTGTGTATTCACTGAAATGAAATGTACAAAACAAAGTGTAATCGGAGTGCATCCGTGTTCATTCACCGGAAATGAAATATACAAAACGAAGTGCCATCGGGTGCATTATTCAGTGTTCATTCACCGAAAATGAAATGTACAAAACCAAGCTACCGTTGTTTGAATCTAAGGAGAAACACGTTGGAAAACAACACTATTTATTCCTACACAAGGACTTTGATCGGTCAAAAAAACTTTCCCAATTTACGTTTAACGGACAAAACTTTTTTTTCTGGCTAACATCCTGGAAAGTTGGGTAAATGAAAAGCAAAACAACTCGAGGGTTGGGTAATAAAAATTTATTGTCATTTCCAAAGCATGACTCACTCAAATATTGAAGACAAAAAAGCAATGTCAAGATCCCGAAGTCATCAACGACGCATGCACTTATTAGTATGATGCACATGTGGGCTAAACGCACAGATGGAAATGGGGCAACAGTAAAGCCCGGGGCAAACTAGGAAACATTGTTGCGGAAACATTTGTGATTCTCGATGTTTCCTCAAATGTTTCCATGTTTGCCCAGCCGTGGAAACATTGTTGCGGAAACAAAATTTGCTTCCTGGGAAGCAAAAATGTTTCCTACCAAATTCAGAAACATTTGATGTTTCCCTATGTTTCTCATTAATGTTTCCTATTGTTTGCCCACTCTGGGAAACATGGCGAAACATTGGCAAGAAACAATCTTTCCGCAACAATGTTTCCTAGTTTGCCCAGGGCTTAAGGGTTGTTCTCTTTGACTACCGGAAAGCGTTTGATTTGATCGACCACACTATCTTGGCCAGCACGTTAAAATCTTTAGATCTCCCATATGGAATTGCATGCTGGGTAACGGATTTTTTAAAGTGTCGCAGGCAGAGAGTGAAACTAGAACATGACTGTAGATCGGAGTGGAAGGGTATCCCTGCTGGAGTCCCGCAAGGACCCAAACTAGGACCGTGGCTCTTTGTGCTGATGATAGATGATATAGAAGTGACGGACACCGAATTATGGAAGTATGTGGACGACACAACTATTGCTGAACCTGTTTTAAAGGATGAAATTAGTAATATCCAGAACGCTGTCTCAGAACTAGCTATGAAATCTCACCAGAAAAAGCTTCAGTTAAACGAAATGCAAAGAGATGAGGATATCGTTCGCTAAGAAAGCTCCGGATTTTGCGCCCGTTCTAATCAATAACAAAGCTATTGATGTAGTTGCCAATGTCAAACTTCTTGGATTGAATATAACTAATGATCCAAAATGGAACTGTCACGTCTCAGAAATCATACGTAAAGTATCTACCAGTCTTTATTTCTTAAAGCAACTGAGGAGAGCAAACGTACTACCAAAAGTGCTTTTAACATTCTATGTCACATGTATACGTCCTATTACTGAATATGCATGTCCAGTGTTCCATAACGGACTGCCGAAGTTTTTATCAAATGACTTAGAACGGTTGCAAAAGAGAGCAATGAGTATAATTCTCCCTCAAGTTACGCACGCTGACGCCTTGGCAGCAGGCAAGCTACCTACATTTTAAGACCGTAGGAATATCTTGACAGTCAAACTCTTTAATACAATAACTAATTAACTAGTAACGAAAACCGTAAGTTACATAGTTTACTACTAACACATGTGAAGTCAACCTCCGATATAAGCGGAGATTTAATATGCCAATATGTAAGACTAATATACTCAAAAATACTTTTATCTATAGTAATAGCATATAGACTATCTTAACAATTTAATAATTATAAAGACAGTAATTTTAACTAGAAAATGTTTAATTGTAAAGTACTACGCAATTCAGCCTTTTGGCTGCAAATGTATTACTAATAAAGCCATCTATCTATCTATCTATCTGAATCAATCAGAGTCACTAGCTTGACCATTTTCGGATTTGTCAGGAGGCAAATAGTGTCTCTAAAGAAAGTGCATGTAGACCCAGACCTTCTATTTTTAATTTTGGCCTTTTTCATACGAGAAGACTGGAACCTTGGCAATTTGGAGATTAGGCAAGGATATAGGCACCTTGCCCTTCATTTCACATGTGACATCATACTTACCAAATGCTAGCCCATGCAAAATTGGTCAAACCTGCCAAAGGTAGTAAAGGCTGGGCCAGACTATAACTTTACTCTCATTTTAATATTAATCTCTTGATATAATTTCAGGTTATTTATATATGGACTGCTACCCCTTATGTATGTACTGTATGTTTCGTTATTAGACCAGGAGTTACGAAGTGAAACTGAAGATCCACTCATTGAAACAATATCAATTTACCACAACACAAAGCAACACTGATCTTTATCTTTAAAACCAGTTTGTAACACAAACTGTGCTGTGGCGACCATCTACCCTGTATGCAGCAAAAATGCAATTGAGTGTTTTCATGCAATTGTCTGAGTGTTGCCATGTTTTGTTAACTATATCAGTTTTATACATCAACTGTCTCGGTGATTATTTTTTAAAGTGCTGAATTTGGCAAGCAATTAATAGTGACAATGGTCTGTTCCAAACAACGAAGTCTTCACGTACCGAATCTAAATTTACATTAGATTCACATGACAAGTTCGACGTTTGAAACAAGTCTTAAAAACAAACACAAAAAGGCCTTACTTCATTTTATAGGTCCTGCATCCAACAGCAAGCGACAGCAGTTGATGTCCCAAACAAATTCCAAAGATTGGTTTCTGTTTCTTGCTGTTCACAAGTTTACTGATGTTTTCAATCGTCGCATTACATTGCACTGGATTCCCTGGACCGTTGCTCAGAAAAACTCCATCAAAGTTACCTAAACAAATGCAAGACAAGATCATTTTGGAACCGTACAATACACAAATCACTGAGCTTCGTATATATCTGGAGCGGGAACTCGAGCCCAAAAAGTGAAGCCAAATATGGAGCTATTGGACGTCAGGGAAAGGGACTCCTTTCTATTGTTTTTGCCTGCGCGGTCTGCAAGGAGTGTGCCGAAATTTCGTATTTTGACTTCGGTTTAAAGAATACTATTGGTACTAAAGCCTCATTCTCATTTATCGTAAACATCGGCGATGCCCATTGTCGGTGGTCATTGATGCATAAAATGTTTTGAGCATTTTCTTCTTCGTTGCTCACAGACAATGCCCATGGATCGTAGAACATCGCCGATTAATGAGAACCAGGCTTAAATCATTGAACCGACAAAGACAGCTAAACACTGTCTTGGACATTTGACTCGGACTTGAACCTGTTAACCGACAAACTCCGAAATTGAATAAAATTCAGTTGAATAGGGTTAGGGTACGTTAGGAGTGGGGTTAGGGTTAGGAGTAGGGTTAGGGCACTGAGTCATTGAACTACAAAGACCACTGAACAGTGGCTCGGACATTTGACTCGGACATTTGACTCGGACTCGGATTTGAGTCTGTTAACCGACAAACTCAGATTACACTTTAGTATTTACAAATTAAAGTTTGGTTTTATTAATTGTGAGGTCCATATCTGTAGTTTTAATTGTCTCAAGCATTTTTACAACTGTTGAAAAATCTCCATACGGTGGATAGCGCTATCCGGTCTTCGTACAACCGGCTGCAGGAATTTACACAGGGTGTTTTTAGAGTGTGAGAATACAAAATATTATTTGAACTAATTTATTCATAAACAGTCCATTTCTATTACCTTTGTTGAAATCATAGTCCCAAGGAACCACTTCAACACAAGCACCGCGAGACACAAGGCATCTGATTTGATTATATTTCATCCCACAGTCAACTGTGATAATCTTTATATCACCATCAGGGTTATATATGACAGGTTTCTGTAAACCAAGTGATTATAAGTAGAAATTAACCAAGTTCATTTATTCTGGATAGCTATATCATTTCTAAGAAATGAAGCTAGTCAAGTAAGGACCAGTCTTTATTGATGATTGATCCAGTGATATTACAGGCGGAAAACATAACTAAACTAACTCTATTTATACTGGGTAGTTCTAACAACGAGTTCTACACAAATCTCCCGGGACAATTCTATAAGTTCTAAACAATTTTCTCTAGAGGTCTAATAATTCCATCCTTGATTGATCCAGTGTCACATACTGTACTACAAGATGAAACCATATTAACTAAACCAAAAGTATTTACAGTCTGGATAGCTCTATAAGTTCTCCTTTAATAAGAAGTTAATAAGGACAATCCTTGTTCCAGTGCAACTACAGAATAAAACCTGAACTAATCTAACTTAGTTTTACTTATTATAGGCTCTATCAGTTACAAACTGTTCTCCCTGGAGGCCAGTAAAGTCAATCCCTTATTGATCCAGTGCTGCTTCGGGAGAAAATGTAAACTAAACTAACTTTAGTTATATCGAATAGCTCTATCAGTTCTAAACAGTTTTTCAAATTGTAGGAAAGACATTAGATGGTATGGACAAGTTATAACATGAAGAAAATTAAGCTTGGTCAGAGACTTTATGGAGCTGTAGCACATAATGGGAGCGAAGGATAGCAGAGAAAGAGCGTAAGTATGGAGGGGGTGAATAGGTTTTGGGACCATCGGATTCTGCCGAAAAAATTGTTCGAATTTTGGATCTGGCGAATATTTTATACGGATTTGTGGATCTTATTAAAGATTGTGGATTTTGCTTGCAATTTAGTTCGGATCCTGGATTGTGACTTCATAGTAGAGCTTTTAGCGGATCCAAATTTAGACACAACCATTGTCGGATCGGCAGATTCTACTTCAAATTTCGGTGGATCGGCAGATTTGTCTTCCCCTATTCACCCCACCGCCCCCAAATATGGAGTATTTGGAAGAAAATGTACAGTAAATATGATAAAAAATACGATAGAGGGCATTAGCTAGGACCTAACATGGGGCCAGTCTTGGAATAGAAGGAATTAATGAAAAGTTCTTCAGTCATCAATAAATTTTTGTTAAATTTACAAGCAATATTTCACCTCTGATGAAACTTCTGCCACAAGGTTACGTTCATCTGGATTATCGAAGGGGATTGAAGTAGGTTCAGTACCATCAATAATAATCTATGAAGGATTTAGTGAAAATGGTAAATTAAAAGAAATTGAGTTCCAGCACTCTCCCCTTGACAAGTAAAATCACTGCCACTAACAAAGTAAAAATAAATTTAAAAAAGTAGGGCGCATTAGGGCACAATGCAAGTTAATGGTTAAATATTATGCATGTAACACACATGCATACATATAAACATTAACTTTATTTCAGTGTCAGATTATTTAGATCTGTATAGCTACACACATAAAAACACACGCAAGTTGTTACAGATCTCCAAACAAGTTTTAACAAGGTTGTTGTCAAGCTGATGTCAGGATGTGTTTGCACTGCTTGTTCCCAGTTGTTCCAACAAGTTCTTATCACCTTGTTACAAGGTTTGCTTCAAGTTGTTCCAAAAGGACTGCTACTGGCTGTTCATAACATGTTGCTACAAGCTTGTTGCCACCATCTTGTTAACAACTTGTTACGTGCAGACGGGTGACTTCCCACTAGTCCGAAGGTTCACTGACTTCCCACTAGTTCGAGGGTTCACTAGTCCGAAGGTTCACTGACTTCCCACTAGTTCGAGGGTTCACTAGTCCGAAGGTTCACTGACTTCCCACTAGTTCGAGGGTTCACTAGTCCGAAGGTTCACTGACTTCCCACTAGTTCGAGGGTTCACTAGTCCGAAGGTTCACTGACTTCCCACTAGTTCGAGGGTTCACTAGTCCGAAGGTTCACTGACTTCCCACTAGTTCGAAGGTTCACTAGTCCGAAGGTTCACTGACTTCCCACTAGTTCGAGGGTTCACTAGTCCGAAGGTTCACTGACTTCCCACTAGTTCGAGGGTTCACTAGTCCGAAGGTTCACTGACTTCCCACTAGTTCGAGGGTTCACTAGTCCGAAGGTTCACTGACTTCCCACTAGTTCGAGGGTTCACTAGTCCGAAGGTTCACTAGTCCGAAGGTTCACTACTCCGAAGGTTCACTACTCAGAAAGTTCACTAGTCCAAAACATACGCTGGTTTTGAATTGCAATTACGTAAGAAATAATTAAATGAATAAAAGGATAGCATTTTGTTTTGTGTTTGATTGATTTTAAATGTATTTTTTAAG